GTAAAGAAACATAACCGCAAACTGAATCAGCAAAATGAATCGGCGACGTAAAATATTAATATTGACATTTGGATTACTACATTCATTAAATACATTACATTATATTACATTACATTACATTCATTACATTCAATTAAATCCGCGTCCGACATCTTTGCTCTTTCATTGGCTCAATCTTAAGGAATTAGGACTATAGCAAGACTAAGTTAAAAGATAGGAACTTTCTGGGACTAAGATTAAGACTACGGTTAAGACTGGGGAAGCATAAATGATCTTATGGCATTCTATGTTGCCAACTTTTAAGACTAAGATTAAGACTGAAGCATAAACCAGCCATTACTGGTAACGAGTTGATATTGACATTGCGTTCGACGCGCATGCGCCAGAAACGCGGCCCGACTTGCATCACTGCTCCCGAGAGACAAGACGAACAATAGCAGACTACGCATTGAAGATTGAGATTGAAGATTGAAGATTAAAATTTGACCAGTGAGGACAAAGGAATTTTAACTCCTATTGTTTTGATTGGTCAAATTTCAATCTTTTAATCTTCAATCTCAATATTCAATGCGTAGTCTGATTCCGGCCTAAGAAATGGCCAATATGAAGGCCATAGAGTAGATTGGTTTTCCTTATTTTTCGACCATCTTGTTAGAAAGCCTCAAAGGGAGAGAGTGGCAATTTTCATCACGTGAATGCCCGCGTCCAATCAAGATGTGAGTGACCATTTTCTCCAATCTCTTCCATGCCTATGGAACTTTGATGCCCGCGTCCAATTAGAGGGGACGGGTCATGTGAAGCAGTTTGCTCTCTCTCTTTGAGGCTCTCTACATCTCACTGCTTGCATGCGCGCACAGTCCTTGGCTATAATTGGCCTTCCGTAGGATAACTCCGGATCTACAATAGGTGTTTTAAGCCTTAAGCCGTAAGAAATTGACCAATTACAGTCGAATTCGAGGAGAATAATCGACTATGATTCGTCCATTTCTTAAGGCTTAAAACTCTATTGTAGATCCGAGGTAAAGCTCTCCTGATTGGAGATAGAGGCAAGCGAGGCAACTGCGGGAGATAACGAGTCTTACCCCGGATCTACAATAGGGTTTTAAGCCTTAAGCCATAAAAAAATGGACGAATCATAGTCGATTATTCTTCTCGAATTTGACTGTAATTGGTCAGTTTCTTACGATTTTAAAACTCTATTGTAGATCCAAAGTAACACGTACTGAAATATAATACTACTGGAATGAGCGCTGGCGCTAATTTCGCGATCTAACAAAGAGCATTTCAAGTGATATCTTCAGGCCCTGCGCACAATGAGGAAATATTAGGAATAGGTGTAA